GTTTTTAAACCTTAATAATGTTCTCCAGTCTTTTAGCTCCTGTTCTAGTTTGTTCCATACATAAACCCCAACAAAAGAAATACAACGTTTGTTCTTGCTTTTGGTTTTCTGAATACTTTATAACCCCTAAGATCATAAGCACTGTCCCTGATCAAGAACAGACCCTGAATATGTACTGGAAACAAATAATTGTTTACCTTGTAGATGAATTGAGCTACATGGGATCAAATCTTTAATTTTCAGTGTTTTTAAATGAACAATAAGTTGGTTTGTATGCTCTCTATAATCTGCTTTATTTCCAGTTCTAATAGCTCCTTTTTTCCACAGTTTTTAAGTTAGTGTTGGAAGTATTGTAAAACAAAAATGACAAATGGGTAACGCAAGGGATGATAGGTTATGGTCGGTTATGTATGTTCACATACCTCTTTTTTATTTAATTTTTTTTTATTTATTTCGAACATGCAAGAGAAAAACAAAAAAATAATAAAATAATGTTTTAAAACATTGGAGAGAAAAACAGCACAAGGTATCGTTCTTTCCTAAATTAATATACCTCTATTACATGTGCGAATTGCCATTCTCTGTTTATAAAGCTGTTCAACCCGTTTGAAGTCCTCCTATGTCAGGTCAGAGAGCAGACGGCCACTGCAGCTTGTTAAAGTTAGGTGCTTGTAGCTACAGAGACACAAATATTTGCATTCACAATATCTGTATTATGATTATCTTTACAGATATACACTATATTGCCAAAAGTATTTGCTCACCTGCCTTGACTCACATATGAGCTTAAGTGACATCCCGTTCCTAATCCATAGGGTTCAATATGACGTCGGTCCACCCTTTGCAGCTAGAACAGCTTCAACTCTTCTGGGAAGGCTGTCCACAAGGTTTAGGAGTGTGTTTATGGGAATTTTTGACCATTCTTCCAGAAGCGCATTTGTGAGGTCGCACACTGATGTTGGACGAGAAGGCCTGGCTCTCAGTCTCCGCTCTAATTCATCCCAAAGGTGTTCTATCAGGTTGAGGTCAGGACTCTGTGCAGGCCAGTCAAGTTCATCCACACCAGACTCTGTCATCCATGTCTTTATGGACCTTGCTTTGTGCACTGGTGCACAGTCATGTTGGAAGAGGAAGGGGCCAGCTCCAAACTGTTCCCACAAAGTTGGGAGCATGGAATTGTCCAAAATGTCTTGGTATGCTGAAGCATTCAGAGTTCCTTTCACTGGAACTAAGGGGCCAAGCCCAGCTCCTGAAAAACAACCCCACACCATAATCCCCCCTCCACCAAACTTTACACTTGGCACAATGCAGTCAGACAAGTACCGTTCTCCTGGCAACCGCCAAACCCAGACCCGTCCATCAGATTGCCAGATGGAGAAGCGCGATTCGTCACTCCAGAGAACGCGTCTCCACTGCTCTAGAGTCCAGTGGCGGCGTGCTTTACACGACCGCATCCGACGCTTTGCATTGCACTTGGTGATGTATGGCTTGGATGCAGCTGCTCGACCATGGAAACCCATTCCATGAAGCTCTCTGCGCACTGTTCTTGAGCTAATCTGAAGGCCACATGAAGTTTGGAGGTCTGTAGTGATTGACTCTGCAGAAAGTTGGCGACCTCTTCGCACTATGCGCTTCAGCATCCGCTGACCCCGCTCCGTCAGTTTACGTGGCCTACCACTTCGTGGCTGAGTTGCTGTCGTTCCCAAACACTTCCATTTTCTTATAATACAGCTGACAGTTGACTGTGGAATATTTAGGAGCGAGGAAATTTCACGACTGGATTTGTTGCACAGGTGGCATCCTATCACAGTTCCACGCTGGAATTCACTGAGCTCCTGAGAGCGACCCATTCTTTCACAAATGTTTGTAAAAACAGTCTGCATGCCTAGGTGCTTGAATTTATACACCTGTGGCCATGGAAGTGATTGGAACACCTGATTCCAATAATTTGGATGGGTGAGCAAATACTTTTGGCAATATAGTGTATTTTAAAAAACCTTTGCTTGTCGTAAAAACATTTTCACTTACCGGTGGTGAGTAAGACATAGTAGTAAAAATTCCAAATCTTTAGCTTGAATGAGCGATGAGCGACTTATAAACAAAGCGTGCACGGGAAGAAATCGGCTTGTGCATGCTTCTACTTCTTCTTGTAAGGTTTTATGGCGGTTTTTAAAGTAGTTATAGTACATTACCGCCACCAACTGATAAGGAGTTAAACAAGGAAACAGGAATCAAGACTCTCCCCCAGAAAAAGAAAAAAAAGTATTTCTAATTGATCTTTAAGTTTTCGTTACTCTGCCAGTTTCTGATGGTCCTACTCATTTTCCCATCATACTTTAACCGTTTCCCAGTTTAAATCTCTAACTTCAAGATACTTCTCTGCAGCTTTCACTATTATTTAGATTTTTTGGGGGGTTTTCTTTGATGTGTGAAAACAACAATTGATAACTTCTACCATGAAAAGTATAAAATCTTTCTTTACAATCAATGAATCTTCTGCAATTTTGGGAAACTCATCCAGAGGTTCTGAACTTGTCATTTGCACCGCTGTTGGTTTGGGTCTTTCTGACTGAGATGGGATTTTTTTTGCATTTTCAGCCTAAGTTATTCCAAGGTCTAATTTCACTTTTCTTATCTCTTCATATCTTTTGCTCACTTCACAACTTTGATATGCAGCATTATGTTCTCCACCACAGCTGCAGCATTTAATCTTTACTTCTTTCCCACACTTTCCATATTCATGCTCTCCAGCACATCATTGTTTGCCCTTACATACTGCTGCTATATGTCCAAATGTTTGGCATTTGAAACATTTCAGAGGCGGAGGATTGTGTATCTTGACATTGTAGCTCATATAGCCAATGAAAACCTTACACTGGAAAAAATTGAAATCTAGATAAGTAATTTTTCTCTTAAAGCTACAGTGTGTAATAATTACAGGGATATACAGTCAGAAATGTAATATATTACACATAACTATGTTATTTTATCATCATCTACGTGCTCAGCCTCTTAACCTTAACATTTGCGTTGCCTTAGAATTCGTTATTTATAATTACATAGGAGCGGGTCTCGCAGCCATGGAGGCAGACATCTTTGCGCTACGGCAGCGCAGAGCCAACAAACTAGCGATTGCGAGATCACCAAAATGTCACAACGATGTAGAAAAAATAACGGGTATATTTATTATCATAAGTCTACATGAAATCTATACCCTACACAGACTAATGAAATACTATCTGTAAAATTATCTATGTAAACAAACCTCATCACTTGAGAAGGTAGGTGATGCGGACGTCGTGAAAGACATTTTGTCCCGTAACACTCGCCCTACTGTTGGGGGGGAGAAGCGGTGGGGGGGGAGATGTTCATGTTGCTGCAGTCTGCAGTCTGACCGCTAGATGTCGCTAAAAGTTACACACTGTAGCTTTAAAATAAGTGCATTTGTTCTTGTATTGAGGAGGTAAAAGGGACATTTTGCCAATGGAACTAGAAAATTTACATGTAAAATAAGAAAACACAATTGCATTGTCTTTTTTCAAGTACATGTTATCTAACTATCAAATTTTAATAATAAAAATAATCATTCTATAGGCAAACTACCTGATTTACCTACTCAAATTAAGGGTAAATACACTTAATTTAAGAATTTTTTTTTTTTTCTAGATCGTTTTTCCAGTTTACTGGGTACATTGGAAAAATTATGTAGAAATAAGTAAACATTTCCTAAATTAAGTGTGTTTACCCTTAATTTGAGTCGGTTAATGAGATAGTTTGGCAATAGAATGAGTATTTTTACCCTTAAAATAAGATAATTAGATAATATGAACTTGAAATAAGACAATACAATTGTGTTTTCTTATTTTAAAAGTAAATTGTCTTGTTCCATTGGCAAAATGTCACTTTTAGCTCTTCAATCCAAGAGCAAATGCACTTTTTTAAAGAAAAAATGACTTATCAAGATTTCGATTTTTTCCAATGTAACTGCTCCTCTTCAAATTTGATTAATACTGATAGGCTGTCTCACCTTTCTCCATTTCTTGTTGTTTTAGACCGTTTCATCTCTTTTACTTTTGCACCACTTACATTTTCTAGAATCTCTTTGTGAGTTACTTTTAGAGGACCTCCTCCAAGGACTCCCCTGCTAATCATTTTGTTCTCCACCAAGCTGCACTGAACTCTTTTCCCCTCAATCTTGTTAATTCATATGGCTTTGCCTTGTTGAGCGCTGTCTCTGCAGTGGATTAACAGGTCTCCACTTTATAGTATTTTGGGACTTCTCCTACAAGTTTTTTTTTTCTTCGATTTTGTTAACTGAACCGGATTCCAATCTGCAAAAGAGTCTCCCTGATTAACTAGTTTGAATATTACTTTGTAATAATTTTTATTTCCTGTGGAATTTCTAGATTGTTCATTACTTGATTGTTCTAAACTGGATTCCCCTTTTTCAAATTTTTCGATTGTACTCTATTCCAAACTTCTTCATTTTCTCTATTTCCTTCTTCCATCCCACAAGAATCACTCCCTGTTTACTCGTTACTCACGACCTTGGACATTTCGTACAGCACAGAAATAGGGCATACAATTCAAAAATGTTTTGTAAAAGAGCATACAATGTAAGCCTCTACACATTGCTGGCTAAAAGCCTGCCTATCAGCGTCTTTGTATTTTTGTGATTGCAGATAGTGATGATCCATTTTTGCCCTAAGACCATCACTCACAGTCTCATCAATTTCTGCATGCTATTTGAAGGTTTTCATGTTGTTCTCTTCTCCTGGCATCTTCTTCCTTGTCAGTGTCCTCTGTAAGCACAGGTCTCACAAACTTTTCTAATTTTGAATTCAGAGAGCCAAGCATTTCTGACTTATTCCTCAGCCTTTTTTCTCTGTATCAGAACTGGGCTATTAAACCTAAACCTAGCTTTAAACTAAGTTGGACCATATGGATTCATGTGTATATATTTATTGCATTTCTTTTGTGTTCTTCTGTATTGATTTAAGGACAAAGAAACTACCTGCTCTTCACACCGGAGCAGACTGGAAGGTCGTTCTCAATTTACCAGAGATTGAGAAGTGGCTGAAAACAACGAGCAACAGAGTTGCACAGCTCACTTACTCAGTTGGACAAGACAGTGAAAACAAACATGTGGATGTCCACCTGGTACAACTTAAGGTAAACCAAAAGGTTTTTTGGCTTTTATTGTAAAATTTTTCTTTTCTCTGCATCACTTCTTTTTCATACAGGGTTTGTTCAAACAGGTTAGTCTTAATTATTCTTCACTCAATTGGAAATATAAGAGTCTTTTCTTCTGGAGTACCTTCTGTAATTCCAAATACTACAAGTTTGAACAAATTCAACAATAAATCTTTAATGATTAGTTTGGCTTTTCATCTACTAAAAAACTACCCTGCCATGTTGTGACCTCTATTGTTGAGAGTGCATCAAACTGCAAATTAGCAAACCATAAAGCATTGCAGAAAAAAACAAAAAAATAAAATCAGACAAATAGTTCATATAGAAATTTATAATATTGACTTTATCAACTTAATTTTATAAACTTAACTTTATCTTCTTGTGGCACCCGAGAGGTGCGATCATCTTTAAAAAAAACATAAAAACCAAACAGACTGCGGCGATTGTGAGCAGGGCCTTAAAAAGTTTAATAGATTAAAAGTTCAATAATTTACGTAAAAAGACGAGCTCGCTAAAAGTGTTCAATAAAATACGTTAAAAGGAAAAAGATAAAAAAAAGATAGATAAAAGAGAAAAGATTAAAAAGAAAGATAAAAATCCAGATGGTGGAGAGCAGCAGAGTCAATGGGGAAGTCTGTTAAAAGACGCGTACTTGGCGGGTACAATGGAGGGCACCGTCCACCCCAGCGCTGGGTCCTCTTTCCGGAGCGCTGCGGGTGTGGGCCTCTCCAGCATAGCTGGCCTTAGCAAGGTCACCTCCAACACGCGCCTCCACCCCAGCGCTGGATCCTCGTTCCGGCACGCTGCGCGTGTGGGCCTCTCCAGCATAGCTGGCCTGCGAGGTCACCTCCAACACGCGCCTCTCGCCAGCGTGCCTCTGCGCCTCGCTCCATGACGGGCCTCTCTGCACCCCGCTCCGGCGTGCGTCTCTGCGCCTCGCTCCATCACGGGCCTCTCTGCACCCCGCTCCGGCGTGCGTCTCTGCACCTCGCTCCGGTGCGCGTCCCTGCACCTCGTTTCGGTGCGCGTCCCTGCACCTCGCTCCGGTGCGCGTCCCTGCACCTCGCTCCGGTGCGCGTCCCTGCACCTCGCTCCGGTGCGCGTCCCTGCACCTCGCTCCGGTGCGCGTCCCTGCACCTCGCTCCGGTGCGCGTCCCTGCACCTCGCTCCGGTGCGCGTCCCTGCACCTCGCTCCGGTGCGCGTCCCTGCACCTCGCTCCGGTGCGCGTCCCTGCACCTCGTTTCGGTGCGCGTCCCTGCACCTCGCTCCGGTGCGCGTCCCTGCACCTCGCTCCGGTGCGCGTCCCTGCACCTCGCTCCGGTGCGCGTCCCTGCACCTCGCTCCGGTGCGCGTCCCTGCACCTCGCTCCGGTGCGCGTCCCTGCACCTCGCTCCGGTGCGCGTCCCTGCACCTCGCTCCGGCGGCCTCCGGCCGTCAGTCCCCAAACCTCTCCCGCTGCTTCTCTCTCACCCGCTCCGTCCGGCTCCCTCCATGATCGGCCGTCCGGTGTCTGTCTCCAACCAAACCTTCCCATGTCCGGTGTCTGTCCCTCCAACCAAGCAGCTGCCCTTTTTTAAATCAGCGTCCCAGTCGGCACGCTGCTTAGTTGATTGGGAACACCTGTGCCGTTGTGGGCGTGTCCAGGTGTGTGTGGCAATGTGGCCTCCAAACAAAATCCAAAAAAACATGCAACACACAAAATTGAAAACAAGCAAACAAGTTCAAAAATAAAGAAAATCCAAAATTAGAAAACGTGCAACAACTTAACAAAAAGGCCACATTACCACATCCCCCCACACTTTAATAAGGCCCGTCCCGGCCGATCCATAGTCCTATGGGAGAGCACCTTCCCATCTGATTTAAAAAAATAAATAAATAAAATAAAACCCGTTAAAAACACTGCTCACAACCCCGCAGTCCTACCAGCAACGCCAGATTCTGTGGCACCCGAGAGGTGCGATCATCTTTAAAAAAAACATAAAAACCAAACAGACTGCGGCGATTGTGAGCAGGGCCTTAAAAAGTTTAATAGATTAAAAGTTCAATAATTTACGTAAAAAGACGAGCTCGCTAAAAGTGTTCAATAAAATACGTTAAAAGGAAAAAGATAAAAAAAAGATAGATAAAAGAGAAAAGATTAAAAAGAAAGATAAAAATCCAGATGGTGGAGAGCAGCAGAGTCAATGGGGAAGTCTGTTAAAAGACGCGTACTTGGCGGGTACAATGGAGGGCACCGTCCACCCCAGCGCTGGGTCCTCTTTCCGGAGCGCTGCGGGTGTGGGCCTCTCCAGCATAGCTGGCCTTAGCAAGGTCACCTCCAACACGCGCCTCCACCCCAGCGCTGGATCCTCGTTCCGGCACGCTGCGCGTGTGGGCCTCTCCAGCATAGCTGGCCTGCGAGGTCACCTCCAACACGCGCCTCTCGCCAGCGTGCCTCTGCGCCTCGCTCCATGACGGGCCTCTCTGCACCCCGCTCCGGCGTGCGTCTCTGCGCCTCGCTCCATCACGGGCCTCTCTGCACCCCGCTCCGGCGTGCGTCTCTGCACCTCGCTCCGGTGCGCGTCCCTGCACCTCGTTTCGGTGCGCGTCCCTGCACCTCGCTCCGGTGCGCGTCCCTGCACCTCGCTCCGGTGCGCGTCCCTGCACCTCGCTCCGGTGCGCGTCCCTGCACCTCGCTCCGGTGCGCGTCCCTGCACCTCGTTTCGGTGCGCGTCCCTGCACCTCGCTCCGGTGCGCGTCCCTGCACCTCGCTCCGGTGCGCGTCCCTGCACCTCGCTCCGGTGCGCGTCCCTGCACCTCGCTCCGGTGCGCGTCCCTGCACCTCGCTCCGGTGCGCGTCCCTGCACCTCGCTCCGGTGCGCGTCCCTGCACCTCGCTCCGGCGGCCTCCGGCCGTCAGTCCCCAAACCTCTCCCGCTGCTTCTCTCTCACCCGCTCCGTCCGGCTCCCTCCATGATCGGCCGTCCGGTGTCTGTCTCCAACCAAACCTTCCCATGTCCGGTGTCTGTCCCTCCAACCAAGCAGCTGCCCTTTTTTAAATCAGCGTCCCAGTCGGCACGCTGCTTAGTTGATTGGGAACACCTGTGCCGTTGTGGGCGTGTCCAGGTGTGTGTGGCAATGTGGCCTCCAAACAAAATCCAAAAAAACATGCAACACACAAAATTGAAAACAAGCAAACAAGTTCAAAAATAAAGAAAATCCAAAATTAGAAAACGTGCAACAACTTAACAAAAAGGCCACATTACCACATTCTTAAATGTTTATCTAAAACTTAAGTGCCTTTTTGCTGTATATTTTATTCTACACTATGTTGTGTACTTTAACAATCTGGAATCTGTCAAACATTTAAACAGTAAAAAAGCTAATTATTGTATCCATGCAGTAAGAACCAGCTATTCACATTATTGTGCTGTATACACTTTTTTTTTTTTTTTTTTTACATACTAACTACAAGAATTGGGGTGAAAATATTTATTCTTAATTTTTCTTACTTATCAATATTTGCCATGTTCCTACCTTTCTTAAAAGTGTGCATGAAATATTTACTAAACTGTACGAATGACCCAAAATCCCACGACAGTCTGCTCTGAAACTGAAATTTCCCAATTTGGGATCAATGAAGTATATTTGAATTCAATGTGAAATCAGTTTTAATGTTATTTTCCATCTATGAAAAACAGACGTTTTCTGTAGATGAAAAACAGATAAATAAACATGTTTACTGGCTCTTATGTCTATGGCACATCACTTGCAGCAGAGACCACTGTTTTAGTTTTTTTTTTTTTTACATTTAGACCTTATGTAAGCTTGACTTGCATAATATAATACAGGGGAATTCAAACCTACCATGTATCAGTAAACACTAAGTACAAAGCTACAATTCGTCCATCCATGTTTCCTAAAAGTATGAATGTAAGATTACCCACCCTACCCTGACTGGTAGACCCTACAGACAGTGAAGACTATTCAGTTATAAATGTCTCCTAGCCAGTCTAATCTCTGGCTTTAACAAGTACCAGTCTTTTCGGTTTAAATATTATCTTCGAAATTCCATTTTAATTAACAATAAAGGGAGATAATTAAGAAGCAAAGAAAATGCAAAATGCAGTATTCTTAATCAACAACTGGTAAATAACCATCATCATCATAAAAAAAGACAAAAAAAGCCATGCTATTTAAACAACAAAAAATAGTGAATATTTCAGTTAACTAAAATACTTTTGCTCATTTCTTAGTTGACACTGTCACCTAGTGGTTTTATTACTGTATTACAACAAGCTGGTGTACAACTAACTACGCATTTAACCATTTTAGTCATTTTACATAACGTCTCCTGAAAAAAACTAAACTAGTAGACGTCACTCCTTCACATTTTTTAAATAATAATTTTCAAGTTGTGAAAGCATTGTGAAGATTTTGCATTCCTTTACTGTCCCAGAAATTTGTGAATGAATTAGACTTGATTGGCATCATACTGAGACATCATATTCACTTTTTGGTACAGTGATACTCTTGTGAGTAAACTATCAAACTATGTGATGTATATATTTCACAGGATTGTTAATAACGGCATGTTAAATGTTGTGTTAAGTACTAAGCTCCGACCACTAACCATTTTTATAACATTGTAAGGTTTTTATAACTTCAATGTTGTTCAGTAAGACCCCCACAACTACATGAGGTTTATTTATTTCTATGAGAGCAATGCTGTACTCTTCTCTTCAACTGTTAAATGCTTCTTCTAATTCTAGAGAAAATATCAAGAACAAAAAGCATAATTCAATATAAATACCAGAAATTAGTGTAATATCGGCTAAAATAAGAATATCAAGCATACATCTAAAATCTCAGATTTAAATGTAATGTTAGAATTACTCCACATCTACCCACTTCTGTTTAAAATTTGCATAATCCATTTATTAATGATGAATAGGTCAGTTTTTCCTATTGTTGTAGACCTTTAAAATAATCTCACATCA